CACACACCGATGCGTTCGCAAAGTCTATATATGTATACGCTCATGTAATAGCTGTGTGAGAGTGCACGCGAGTTATCGACTTGCATTTACCCTATACGTCGTCTTGTAGAGTTCACTTGCATCCTACTACTCTTTACGAGCTCTCAAGTTTTTATGGCAATCTTCTGTCGGGAAGATAGATTATCTTTAAATCTGATACTCGGTGTATTTTTTAGCCAAATTAAGATTAATAATCACACACACGATTTGTTAGTTTTATTGGAATAATTAAATTATATCATGGTATTGTATGCATAATTAAATTATGTTGATGTTACGTGATCAATCAAATATTAGTTGTTTCTAAATTTGTATTGCTATGCAGAAAAATTCTACAAAAGTTGTTTGTAGTAGGCGTGCTCTATCAAGAAACTGCAACGTTTTCATCATTATATAATATAAAAGATGACTAAACAAAATTCGGAGAAAATACCAAGCTAATTAACTAATCTGAAAAAGTTTTATTAAGATTTAAATTAATACATTTTTATTTTGTGAATGAATGGATGCATTAAAAAATTGTGAATATTCGTAAGATTTATATGATTATATACATTAATAAAATAATATGTTTTGTTGAATTAAAAGTTAGCCAAAAGTAAATAATTATAAATAAATAATTATTAATAATAATTTATCGGTCAATATCGATTCTAAATTAGACATGAAATAAGAAAGGATGGAGAAGTGTCTTATAATATGAAAAAAAAAAACAAAATCGATTCAAAATAGTCTATTGTAGGCAAGACAAGGTGAAGAATTAGTCATCTATGCGAACGAATATAACTGCAACGATGTCAACTCGCTTATACTTTTTATGGATCGAGAATGAATTATGCGGTTTGCTTGCAATATCGTAAAGAAAAAAGTAAATGTAGGCAAGATTGAATGATACTATCGTTGTTTTTGTTGTTACCGTCGAGGGAAAGAAAATTAAATCGATAGTCAATAAAACGGTCTAGCTTCAAATGTCTTTACTGAGAACTTACTGAACGACGTAACTATTTCGAAAGCCCAATTATGAATTCAGAGAAGTAAAAACATGATTCATATTATATAAATAATTATATGTATATCAGTGTTGTACACCTACTACCGAATCAATGATTCCATAATACATTTTGAAATTGATTTTAATATTTATATCTTCACGTCAATTCTGAAAGTCTGAAATAGTCAACTAGAGAAGATTTAGAACAAATTTTTCGAGAACTTTTTTCCGAAAACGAATTTTGATTTTTATTAAATTTCATTAAAAAATATTATGTTAATGTAATTTTTTCATTATTCTGCTTTAAAGTAGAAGAAAAATCTTGCATAAAAAAGATAATATATTTTCTCTCTTTTCGAAAACACATGTCTGGAAAATAAACAAATTAGCGTGAAATAATGATAACAGCTCGTATATAAAATTTATTCTTGATATTTTAAAAAATAAAGTTTCGCAAGTTCCTCGTGTTTGATATACCAAATTCAATGTGCTTTACCAATGAAAGTACAGGGATGTTACTCCTAGGATAAGAACTAGAGAATAAAGAAAGAAGTATTGGGTTAAGAGGTGGTGTATAAACGTAAGTACGTGCTGCTTTGAAGTTCTTGAAAGTTGGATGAAAAAAAGGGATGGAGAAAGCTGCTTCGGAAAAAAAAGAACAAATACTAGAGACGTGAGAGACGGATAAAACGTCAAAGAAAACTGCAAAAATAAAATAAAGAGAAAAAAAAGAAATATATATATAAACACACACATGCACAGACATATACGTATATACTCGATCGAAGAGAGAAACGATGTGTCCATATTTGGCTACACCCGCTGCATTCTCTCCATCCTACTTCTTTTTATTTCTTATTACGGTTCTCGCCTATATCTATATGCTGCTTTCAGTTTATACGATTCACATGATGTAACAACGTCGTCACAGTTCTCCTCATTTTATACCATCGATGAAGATCGTACGCCATAAAAGCTAAAATGGGACGTAGTTAATGTTATTAAAAAAAAAGTCTTTCATAAAAGAATAATAATTTTAATTATATTTTATAACAACAAATTTAATTAAAAACAACACGATAGTTACCATTAATCTAATATCAAGGTAATCAAGATAAGTATAATCAGCCAACATTTGTTAATTTAATAATACTATATATAGTACAAATATATTATATCAAAAGATAAAAGAAACAAATTGTACGATGGAATAGAAATGCTAATCAAAATAATGAAAAACAATGCAAGCTGCAATGCAATAAACGTGAGTATAATTCACTGTAATATGGTTACTTATAAGATTTTTTTTTCTAATCTAGCAGCATTATCATTCAGTGAAATAACGATATGCTCTGAAGCTATTAGCCTGAAAAAAGCTCGTTTGAATTAAGGTCTAGATAGGCGTAGTTAATTCAACTAATGGTCGAACTTTATCGTTTATACGCCCTGTCCTCTATATGCAAAACGCTCCCTAAAGGTTACTTGGGGTCATGAGGGCAGTTAGCTATTTCCTATCAGGTTTATTATACGCTCTTTTTCATGCCATTCTATATAATCGACTATTGCTAAAAATAAAAATTAGTATACAAATGAGAATGACTCGTACAAAATTATAAAAACAAAAAATAAAACATTAATTATTTGATGAGATAAAATTTGCTTTAGAAAGAATCGAACGTTCTTTTTCTTTATATATAAATTAAACTTCAGTATCGTTTTACGCCATGTTCAGAAAGTGTACTTGCAGTTGTACTGAAAAAGACTTGCATCGCATTTTACACAAAAGGTGTTCGTATAATAAGTGGCACGAAACTACTTTCTACGAAAGTAACGGATGATATACCGATATTCGTTTCGTCTCGAGATACCAATAATGCAAATTCGTGGTCATATACTTTATCTAAAAAGGTTTCCTACTACCCTAATCGCGTTTTACAATCCGGGAAAGTGTACTTCTAAATTTTGTAAATTGAACAAATAAAATAAATTATTATCTATTTGAATAAAGTCAAATATTCGATCAACCAATCCATTAACATTCGCGAAATAAAATCATATTGCATAATTTAAAGATGGCGCAGGTTTAAAATCATATAGAGTTCGCTTGTGTAGGACCATTGATTTTTGTCCGTGGAGAAGCGCATTGCGGACGTTTTGGCTATTTGCCTCGCGATCAATCGTAAAACGGCGCGACCGAAAAGTTTTTAATTAAAATTCGTCATTTGGCTCTATTGTTTCGATCAAATTTATATTAAACGTAATTGTAATGAAAGTAGAATTGATGGCGTTAATTTTATTTTTGCCTGAAATAGAATCTCAAACGTTTTATTAATAAAATATATACCACGCACGAATATTAACGTAACGTCATAGTAAATAATATTAACAGGAGACTAAATATGTTTAATATTAACAATAAATATTATTTAACAAGTATTCACGAGCTTAAAGCGAAACTAATGGGAGAACTGAACATAACTGGTACAGCAAAGAAAGGAGGATTAATTATTCAATCTCCAGACGGAATTAATTAAGCTATGCGCGTTTATACTAGTTGAACTTCATTAGGAAGTTTATAGGACAGATCGTACGTAAAGGCCAACATAAAAAGAGAGTAACAAAAGCTCGAAAAATGTTTCTCTTTTATTTTTGAAAGATCGTAACTTTTCTCCCTTGATATTTTTACAAGTATGAACGATGTTCTTCATAATCTGAGAACATAAAAACAGAGAGAATTTTCAAGCTGAAAAAATATCAAGAAAAATATAACTTTCGATTCACGTACGTTCGTAAATCTTTTCCTAGTCACGATTGAAGTGATCGTGAGTTTTATATTATGCGGAATAAAGGAATATCAGGCCACTTGGTAAAAATAATAAAAAAGAAAATATTGAACGTGTACGCAAAAATTAGTATGCGCTTATAATGCAGGAATGCACGAGTGCATGCGAACTAGCTCAGCGAACGTTAATTATTATAGAACATAAAGAAAAGCAACGCTCTTATAAATACAACATGTATTATATCCAGATATATAATATATTTATTATACATATCATATGTATAATGTAAACCATATTCCCATTATTTATAAGGTTTATTAAAATTATTGTATTGCTTTAAACTCACTGTTATTCATGCGATAAAAATAGCTACTAGTCGATCTATGCCTGCCCCGAGAGGAACTTCTTTATTAGCTCGTTGAATTCGTTGTACTCTTTCACTCTTTCTCTCTCTCTCTCTCTCTCTCTCTCTCTCTCTCTCTCTCTATCTCTTTTTCTTTTTAAGTGCAACCTCGTAAATGACATCGTCCAATGTTTTTTTACTGCAATAGAGAAATGTTGAGAGTATGTTAATAAAATTTAAATAAAGAACATTATATGCCCTATACTACATCATAGAATCTAGAAGCTACCAAACATAAATTTGATAACAGGATATGCAGGAAAGTCTATTATCTAAGAAATAAAATGCAAATTTATAAAAAGAACTATTTGTATATTCTTGGGCGGAACGAGTCAATTAAAAAAACTTGCATAAAAAGTAAAATAAATATTAATGTCCATACGGGATGTTACTTCTACGAAACGATAGGGACAAAAAAATCGATAACTTTATCTAGAATAAAATCGTAGATACGTTTACGTCAATAGATCGAGAATCTCGTTATGACGTATCGAGCAGTCAACAGTGTAGTGCATGATTGATATGCAGATTAGATGTTATATACTTGTTATGCTAGTGGCAAAGTAGTGAACGGATGTCAGATCTACGATCGTACGTGTTCGTTATCTAGTGCTCATATCATATCGTTTCCTTTTCCATTTAAACAACAAAAAGTTTATAGAATGCAAATCTAAAATAATATATGTAGAATGTAGGGCGACGATTGCACATAATAATTATGTTTGATATTATAATTAATTAAAGCTCGATAAAGCTCGTAAGTAAACGCCTTCATAAAAATCACCTTCATCAAATGACTCCATAGCCTTGGCATTACATAAGCGACACTTCCCGTACTTACGACAGCTTGTTACCGTAATAATAATCTTGTTAATCTTGTGATAGAAATAGAAAGTAATCTAGAACAATTAATTAAACGATTTAATCAATTATATGTCCTTTGACTTATCACGTTCATTACCTGTCACTTATAATAAAACTTCAAAATAATGAAATATTTGTGAAATTAAAAATAATATCGATCATCTGGCTATAGAAAAAAAATGCTGACAGACTTGTAAGAGAAATTCTTAATTATGGAGTATGGATCGATGGAAATTTGCTAAGACTGTTGTTCGTTCGAACATCTTAGAATAGAAAAGAGGGGAGCCATAGAAGAGGAGAAATTTAATACCGTGACACTTGATTTATGTTTTTTAAGAGGCACCACTCTAGGTACTTAGTCGGTTCGCCACGACCGGGCACGTCGATCGTATGACCTGGCACGGAGGACGTACGTGGGATAACCGGCATCAGAACCCAAGCAGAGAAAGGAGAATCGCGATACAGCGTGGGCAAAGGAAACGTTAAGCCTCTTTCGGCGAGCTACGACCAAAAACGATTTCGAGTTCTATACCATTCTTACTTGATGACGTTCAACGATCCGGTTATGATACTAGGTTCCTAAATAAGATAAATGTGTTTGACCTGCACACTCTTCGTAGGATAAAGATTTCAATTATATGTCTATGTAGAAGTAATATAGAATACGTACAAATATCGTAGAATTTGTCCTTATTAAAAAAATGACAAAATGAAAGATGTTTTTAATCTTCTATTAGGAACTTCGTTGTCAAGGCATTAAATTCCTCGTGATATCTTAAGTGTAAATTATGAGCTCCTTTTTCAAATATTATTACTCTGTAAAAAAAATTTTAAATATCTATTTTAAACTAATATAATTTATATAATTAAAGTAGAAAAAATATGCAAAATATATATACTTGGAATTTGGTATACGATCTTTTAAATAATCTGGATGTTCTGGCTTTACAATAATATCTTTAGCCCCATGTATAATTAAAGTAGGGCACTTTATTTTAGGCAAATCGTTTTTACATATATCACCCTTGTTTTTTTCGTATATTCTTTTCATGGTATCTACCCAACTGGACCAAGTATTTCTAAAATACTCTTCTCCATAAATTTCAATCAATGGTTGTTTCATTTTATCCGACCACGTATCGATGTTTCTAATACCTTTAAATAGAATAAAATATTTATAAGTCTTCGTTATTCATAAGATAATAATTTTAATGATATGTAAATATAAAGGCTTAGAATAAATAATTACTTTCGTAAATTTTTAGTTCTTCAGGAATAATGTAAGAATTCGCACCAAATACGACCATCTTACGAACGTTATCAGGATTCTTAGCAGCAAGTATGAGAGAAGTGATACCACCATCACTCCAACCAATTAAAGAAAATTTTTTATATCCTAAATTTTTCATTAAATTAAAAGCATAATCGGCATCACGTTGAAAAAAGTCATCAGAAAATATTCTGTTAGGTGGTCTCGATTTTCCATACCCAGGTGGATCCCACGCTACTATGGTTAATTTATTTTTATCGAGATTTTCCAGTTGTGGTTTAAAATCTGTCCAGGCAGTTCCTAAAAAATAAAACGAACTGTTAGTAATAATCAATGATCAAATGTTCAAAAAGTTTTTTTTACAAGTTACAAGTAAATATTACATAAATATAATAATATATTACTTAATAAAAAGAAATAAATATACGAATTATAATAATACAAAAAAAAATTATTATCATTATTGTATTATAATATAATATATTAATGTAATTATATTAATATTAATAATAAATATATCATACATAGGTATATTCGTTATTAGCGTTTCCTTTTTTACCGATAAACGTTAATGCTATAACCTATTGTGACAAACCTGTATATGTATTAAAAATGAAAAGATATAAGGAGTACGATAGCTTTTTCACATAGTTATTTCAATCAACTTACTTCAAAATTTATAAAATTTAATACATGCATGGGTATAAATATGTAATTTTTTAATTACCTAAGGCACCAGGTAATAAAAGAACCGTATGGTTACCAACACCAACTTTAACATAGTTGATATCGAAGCCATTAACCATGACTTTTCTGTCCTAGAAAAAGATAATATACACGTGAAAATAAAATATTATTTCATTAGTAAAATTAAATATCTTTTACCTCAAAATCTGGATTTGTTTTCATTGAAAATGCTCGTCCCATTGTTGTACGTGCTATTTGTATATCATGCTTATAAAAATTTAATGATTTTTTCTTGGTTAATGCACTTGTAACAGCAAGAAGTCTCGCACGTAACGTCGCCATATTCACGTCAATACTGAGATTTTAATATAATGTACGTGTGTACTCAAATATTATCAGAAATTATCTAAGATTAGATTTGATATATCTATTATAATAGTTTTCATATTAAAATTAAATTCACAAGATACATTGAAAAAAATAATCAATAATGATTTTCTTTATGATTTTAATATATTGTTTTTTGGCGGTTTTCGAAATGTTTATCTTACAGTTATTGTATTTTAAAGGAATGTTTTATTATCACAGTCTGTTACCTGACTTTAATTCCATAAATCACCGGGTACCTAGTACTTACTACGTGTCTTAAAACGGCTGACACCTAATTTTTACTGTAAAACGCGTTCTAAGCATCGCGAAATATATATTACTTCGTAACTGAAAAATCATTCAACATCGTTCCAAATAGTAATTCAAATAAATAAACTTTGGCATCAAATAAGTTTCTTTAGGTAATACAATCATTTTAAAATATTTATTTTAGAATTATACAATGATTATAAATGAAATGGAGATATATATTTATACCAAATGCACTTGTCAAATATGAGAAGTATATGATGTTGATATTCAAGATAATATTACTAAGTGTAAAATAAATAAATACTTTTCACAAAAAATCCGATTTAATTGCAAATGTCTAAAATGTTCTTACCTAATCTTAAAATCAGAGATTCTATGAAATTAAATTCGTAGTAAGAACTAAAATAATTTGTTTAAGAACAAATGCAATAAAGCGAAGCATGTAATGTTGTTCCCATATTACACTTTAGACTAATGAAAAATGAATCTAAAGATTTCATGTCAATGTAAATAAGTCTTAGAAGCATACAAGGTTCAACTTTTTACTTAGTTATAATCAAAACACTGATAGTAATAATAGTAATGAAGATTCAGAATGATTATAATTATGGACTTATCATGAATCTTGATTAAGTTTGTGATTTCTGTGATATTCTTCCGTTAAGTGCTTTTTATACTTTGTCTGATCGCTCCACAATTCGGCTGCCATTGGATTAAGTGGACTATCGTTGTTAGGTTCTGTTGTATAAAAAAATAATTATAAATATATAAAAAAGTAAAAGGATATTAAAGATTCAACTTCATATTATTTAAACATGATTAAAATTACTTACCACTAAGTAGAGATTGTATAGATAATAAAATAGTACGAACATCATATAGAGCACTCCACTTATCTTTTAATATATCCAAACAAATATTTCCAACCGAATCCACATTTGGATGAAAACAAGGGGTGGCAAATCGTACTATTGGTGCACTGTATGGATAACTATGTGGAAATTCCAAGGTCAATTTGTATACAAAGCCAGAATAAACCTGAAGCACATAAATTGAAATGTTTTATGGATATGCAAAAGTACATAACATAGATCAAAAATATGACAAATATAAATTATTTAATTAACAAATACTATTCTCCAAATAAACTCACTGTATCTTTAGGTCCCGTAATAGTTCCAATCCATTTGAATAAGTTTTCACTTTCTGGGAAAGCAGAGACTCCTTTATCTGTACTCGTCATCAAAACCATAAGTTCCTTTTGTAGTCTAAGACATATATTTTCTTAATAAGCATAAAATGTTTTAATGTTAATAGTAAAAATGTATGGATGAACTATCTAATCAAATAAACGCTTATAATTTCGTTAAGTGAATAAACAATCTTCGTAATAACTATGTACTCGAATAAATATATTAAGCCACATTTTTTGTACACACTAAATACGCACTTAAGTACAATGATAAGATATTATTTTGATTAAAATCAAAGGTTATGTCGTTCAATAACATATTCGTATAATCGAATAAATTTTTTCAACCAATGCACTATTTTAGAGTTACCAGTAAGAAAAAAGTCCAATTTAAGTTAAGTGACAAATATAAAACTATAATATTGATAGGAAAAGTAAAAGAAAATATTAGACGTATTAGTGGAAGACGTACCGTTTACTAACTGCATGATTATCTTTAGGTTTGCTCTGTTTCTCTTCTGTAGCTTTGCTTGGTGTGTTTTGAGAAGAATAAAATGGGTTAATGTTTTGGGCCATTTTAAATGCAAGTGCACGCAATAGTACTATCAATAAAGTTTCTTCTTTTAGCAAGATTATAATGACAAGGTTTTACTTCAAGGGACAACAGTCACTGAGAAAATTTGAATGCCTCACGTGCTATTATCAGGCTTGAAAACATCGAACAACGAACAGCTGTTGTTCTCCTCCCCCGTGTAAACGCGTCACTTCTTATGTCGCAAATATCGACAAATTAATCTTAATTAATACTTTTTAATTGCACAAAATAATGGATTAACTTAAAAGAATTAGAACTCGATTTGTCTGATGTAGTCAATATTGAACAGCTGTAAAAAACAATAAATATCAAGTGACATTTTCAATATTTTTTTACTGTTTTTTATTTCATTGTGGCGCCACGATTTAAAAAAGTTTTCGAATTTTTGTATTAAATTGACAATTTTGCATAACTTTGATTTTTTTAATAATAATTTATTCCAAATATTTTTATGTTTTAAACAATATTTCATTAAGATAATAAAAGTTTCATCGTAGGTATGTATTTGAAATGACGCGTACATGAATCCCAATACTGAGTTGCGGATAACTTAATAATGGCGGAAACGATGGAGTGTCAGTTTGAACAGTCAAAGATCAATACAATAATTTGATGGTGTTATTACTATGTCTTGAAAGATGATATGTTTTGATAAATGTTTCAAGTATATTAAATATATGTATATAGATTCACTATAGTGAGAAACTTGTAATTATTGCATGTTAAGTTAAAAACTTTTAATGTGAAATTTACAAACAAATTTTGTATTTTTGAATGGGAGAATTTGTGAAAAAGTAATTACTAAAGTTTTTACCGAGAGATATAAGAATCATGACAACTACACAAGGAACACCAGAATCAGATACTGGAAGTTTTGAATGTTTTCAAAATTATACAGCACCAGAGGTGTTCATACAAGGTCTGGCAGGAATTGTTGATCAACAAGATGTAGAATCTATGATACGAGCTCAAAAACAAATGTGAATATTAAATTTACATACAATTTGTAGTATGTATTTTATAACTATTTTCCATATAATAAGGATTGGATTTCTTCATATTTTAGGTTACAGAGATTTGAGAAAACCAATGAAATGTTAACCAATTGCAATCAGTTATCGATAAATAGGCTTAAATTGGCAGGAGCTGAATTTAAAAAGCATACTGCTTTATTGATTGAAATGAAGAAAGACTTGGATTTTATTTTCAAGAGAATACGTATAGTGAAAACTAAATTAAGTCAGCAATATCCACAGGCATTTAACGGTAAGTTAAATATGAAAAATATGATAGCGTATTTGAATATCAGCATTTAACTAATATCACAGAGGCTGTAAGAAGCAGTTTAGCGGAAGAGGTCATTGTTGAAGATATTGATTGTCCAGTAAAGCCATTGGAACCGGAAATAGTTCCCCTGCCAAGTGCTACAGTCAATGATACAGAGAGAGATCCAGATTCAGATGGTAACCATAATTGTACTTGAAATAATAATACAGTTATACAGTGAATTAACATTATCTCCGAATAATTGTTCGATTCTTCAATATATACATGTTTGGTAATGAATTTTTATTAAACGTTTCTGACTCATAGTGTTATAGATGTTTTCAACAAAGTATTCACTGTGTAGTTTACATGCTTTTAGTAATGCTTCCTATAATATATACAAAAACTGTAATGCCAAAGTATTGACTTTAACATTTTCCTTATTGTATCGTCATCTATAAAAAATAGTAAAAAATATAGTTAATTATTTATTGCTTACAGTATCTACAGTATATTTTGTATATCGCTATTAGGAAGCTTCTTGTCATCGTGCTATATACAAATGACAATTTGCATTTAAGAGTTCATTTACTCTTCATATTGAATTTTGCATAAAGTAATGCTATATATAATTATAAGTTTTAAGTTTTTTATATTATCAAACTAATTGCAGAAATGTTGTATATGCTCAATACTGTTCTCATACGATATTACATATTTATCATAAAAAAATCATAGTTTTCTATTCTAATAAAAATGACGTTTAAAGATAATGCCAATGACAAAAAACACAGAGTTATCTATCTAGCAGTGTTATTATAAACTTATAAATATTAAGAATCTCTTGCCTATTTACAATTAATATGTTATCTCTTATTGAAAATAGTTCAAAACTTTAGATAATTACATATGTTTAATAAGAGTATATTTAGACAAATATTCTTATAAAATACTAAACTAAAGTATTCTGCCATTCAATTCAATTAACACGTATCTTCTCGTTAAGAAGTTTTTAATCAAAAGTATATTAGTGCACACTTGTAAAGAGAAATTAGGAATTGTTGTTACTGGTGCTATACAGATTTTAAAACTGCGATTAGTTGAGATTTTATTCCATTGTAAAGAAAAAAAGAAGAAACAAAGAAAACAAACGTATTCATGAGCAAAGTTCGTCTGATGTAAAGTTCACTAAATTGATGACGGATAATATTTTTTAATATTAATGAACAAAGTGATGGTACCTTGTATCGACGATGAGTGATGAGTGTCATTGAATGTACATGTTACAGTCGAAGTAAATACTTATGTTACAAATACGAACAACGTGTAAAAAAGAATAGACAGTAAAAAAAGAAAAGAAATAAAAAGACGTACTTCTACTGTAACATACTTATGTTCCAAATGTTGTATAATGCGGTAAAATTTAGGAGATAGCGTGGTAAAAGAAAAATTAAATATACGAGGAGCCTTTATCGTCAACTTCGTTAAAAAATACTATTCATTTCATTTTTCCCGTTTTTTCGAGAATGAACAACCTCCGAGCCTGTTGGCTCCCCCCTCTTTCCTTTACGAAACCAAACTCTGAAAAGTAAGAATAAACAAAGCTAAGTTGATATCAATTATTCTTCGTGTACAGTTCCAGTCGAGGAGTTTCAGTTCGCGAAGCTGCGTAAAAGGCGAATTAAGAGCAACGACAGTTCATCAACAGAAAGCAACAACGATCAGAGTATCGCCGACACGTCATCCTGCACTTCCGACACCGGTTGAATTTTCCCGCGAGTTTGCCGACGAGCTGTTTGAAAGGAAGCGGGAAAACTACGTGAAGAGAAAGAAAGAAAGAGAGGGATAGAGAGAGAAAGAGAGAGAGAGAGACAGAGAGAAAGAGAGAGAGACAGACAGGCAGAGAAAGAGAAGGAAGAAAAAAGAAAGAAACAAAAAATGCATAGAAGGGAAAAACATTTGAAAAGAAAGAGAGCGAATGAGATAATTGTTTATATCGCACCATTCACGGCGACACTCGTTGCTATCCTTAGCTCGACAATAAACAAAACAAAAGAAAATAACTAATTACAAATATGCCTCTTTACTCATCGCACGATTGCAAGTTCTGTAATACGCGTATTAATATCAATGTCCAAATAAAAAGATTCAAATTCAATAAAAAGTTTTTTGTATGTATATAAAAAATTTGCGGTGTTGATCATTTTGTGAGAACAAAAAAAAAATAATTCATTTGGAGTAATTATTATATGTGAATAATATCTCGTAGTATTGCTAAAATATTTATTGAAATTGATCTTTGTGTGTTCTCTTTTCCATTGGGCTTGTATTATTGTTATAGCTAACGGTGCATCGTTGCTGCTAGATGTCTTGAGAGTTTGACGTTAAATATGTTTGCGATAAAATCGCGGTTCTCCTTCAATAAATGTTATTTTTTTCCACTTCTTGGTCAACGTTACGAATGAAAAGGACGGGAAAGAAATTTGAAGGCTTTTATATGAAAACGCACTTATCGTATATAATTTATAAATTATAGGTCTTTGTTTCCAGAATAAAATAAACGAAACCTAGTAATAAATTGATCTAAGTATTCATAATGAATTTAAATATTAAATAATGAGTAATATTGAATTTATAAAATAAACGACCCATTTAATGTTTTCATTTTGCTCGTTGTTAGTTGAGATTACACCGATAGATGGAGCCCGAGTGGTAATTGATTCGCAGTAAATTTAATTAATAATATATCCATATATATATACATATATATGTTTTTAATAATAATATATGGTGAGTTTATATCTATATACAGAGACCACGATATTCAATCATATGCGATGATGATCAAAATGTGTATAAAAAATAAAACCAAAGTATAAGTAATAAAAAAAAGTATAATTGCCAGTGACCACCTATATAAACCTTATCAATACATTTGAAAAACATACATTAATAATTCCGTCAAATTTTGCATGATGAGATATAATGCGATTTAAAAAAAAAAAGAAAAAAGAACAAAAAAATATATCTATATAAAAGAACAACGAGCCTATCGTGAATGTTAGATTATCTTTATTATTACATCCGTTTAAAAGGCATAACTTATTTATAAAAATATGGGATCAAGTAGTGTGGGAACGGGATAGGATATAATAATAGGATCGAACAAATTCTTAGTTCGCTTATAAAATAGTTAATACGAATAAATCTCAGTACTTTTTACAAGTTACAAGAAATAACAAGATCTATCGTAATTATAAGAACTTATTTATAAATGGATCTTAGACTATATCAGTATATCCTTAAATCTGTTCTTTTTTTTTTGTTCTTTAACACAGAAGTATGAGATTCGAAAGAAGAAAAAGAGAGCAGTTGGAAATGAATTATGAACACATAATAACTGCTTTCGATCGTACAACAATAAATTTATATATGTATATATTGTCCATGTATCGTTGAAAAACTTTCACGATTATTATTATTACTAATGAACAACGAAGATTTGTGATTTAATTTTTACACAGTATCTTCCTTTCTTTCTCTTTTTTCTCAAGTAACATTATATCCTCGTTATACGCGAAACAAGATAATTGTTTACTTTTTTGATAACAAACGCATTAAAGTTCGATTAATATAATTTTCTATCTCATATAAATCTTACAAAAATACATACACGTTTCTCTTCTTCATATTTTTATTGTCATGTATTTGGCAGTACCCGCATAAATTTCGGCAATATAAGGGCAAATCGCATAAAGATACTCTCTTATAAGATCAAGGTAAAAGCCATATATAAATATAGAATTTCTCATTTCTTTCGATGCATAAATTTACGATATAGGCACAAGTATTATGTAGATCCCTTAGATTTCATTTATAGGAAGAGAACTTTCTTTTATGCTAATGCATAATTCAGAACAGCACTAAAGATAGCTAGAATTAATTCTTAACACAACAAGAAATACATAGTTCGTTATTACGATGTTGAAAAGAGAATGATGTGGTTATGACATACGAATCATTTTATAATAAAAAA